TGTATTTTTAGTAGAGATCGAGTTTCACCATGTTGGTCAGGCTGGTCTCGAACTCCTGACCTCAAGTGATCCTCCTGCCTCGGCCTCCCAAAGTGCTGGGATTACAGGCATGAGCCAGCACTCCTGGCCTTAATGAATTTTTTTGTAGAGATGGGCTCTTCCTAGAATTGCCCAGGCTAGTCTTAAACTCCTGGGCTGAAATGATCCTCTTGCCTCAGCTTCCCATGGTGCTGGGATTATAGGTGTAAACCACCGCACCTGGTCACACTTACCTGGATGGATGGCTGGTTTGTGGGCCTTGGCCCTATTTTCATGTCAGTGTTTAGGGTCCAGTCCTACTTTTCAAAGACTCAGATTGGCTGATGCTGGGTCATCCTTCCTGCCCCCTCTGAAAAAGGGTGCCTGCCACAGTCACTTGGGGTATGGGCTAAGATAATGTAGTACTGGCAGGTAAATAGCTAACTGGAATATAAGCTCTGGACCTGTCTCTCCCACCCCAACGCTGCACTGATGCCTGGGCTTTCATCTCATCATGCTCTTCCCTGGGCTTGTCTGTCTCCCTCTCTACCTAAGCAAGGCGCTCTTTGGGGCATGGACTGTGTGGCTTATTCCTCTTTGTCAGGAGGCCTGAAGAATAGTTCTTTTTGATGCAGATGAATGAATGGGACTGAGAGCTGCTCTTCTCTGGGAGGGAAACACAGGTAAGGTCCAGTTTCAGTTTCTGTAATGCTCCCTTTCATAGGGAAACAACCTGGAATATTCTTGTCCAGGCACCAGAGGTCAGGGAATGTTTCTTGGGCATGTTGCAGCCTGGAGTTCCACAGCTGAGACCTTTCTTGCCAAATGATATTTCAGCTACACTTAAGGCAAGTTAATGAAAATCTGGCAGAAAGTCAGGGGTAGGAAGTGGGGAGGAAGGAAGGCCCATCTCACAGTCTCAATTCTGTCACCACTAAATCATTTCCAGTAGCAATTGAACTTCCTAGGCAAATCCACCCAAGCTCCCAGCCTTCTGAATTTCCAGGCCCCAGGGGAAGGTCTTCAGATTGCTCAGACTAGTTTGTTCCCTCTTTAAAGAAAAATCCTTACTTTCTGGAAGGACTTGGTACACGTGGCCTCTACAGGAAATTTATCCTGATGGATGAGGCAGGCAGAAGGAATCAAGAAACCGAATTTAAGGAAGTTGCTGACGCGATGTATTATTTCCCCCTTGTATCACTTCCCTCTTTCCCCAGGCGCTCTTAGTTCCTACCTGTCCCTGCACGACCTGTAACTTCTTGGAGGAAATCAAAGTGCATTAAAGAAGGCTCTCCTTCTGCTGGCCTATTTGCTTTGAGAGCTTTTTCTCTTGTTTGCCTAGGAATTTGATGACTTTCTACAGATTAGAATGTTTACTTCTAAAATTTTCCTTTAGGTAACTCTAACCAACAGGGCAGAAAAGTAATAAATTTAAAACAAAAAGAAAAGAAAAGCAGGGAGGGCAGGGTGTGGTGACTCACCCCTGTAATCCCAGCAGTGTGGGAGGACAAGGCGGGCGGATCACCTGAGGTTCAGGAGTCTGAGACCAGCCTGGCCAACACAGTGAAACCCTGTCTCTACTAAAAATATAAAAATTAGCCAGGTGTGGTGGCATGCACTTATAATCCCAGCTACGCAGGAAGCTGATGCAGCAGAATCACTTGAGTCCAGGAGGCAGAGGTTGCAGTAAACTGAGATTGCACCACTGCACTTCAGCAAGGGCAAGAGAATGTGACCCTATCTCCAAGAAAGAAAAAGAAAAGGAGATGAGAAATGGGAAGAACCACTGCAGCCTTCAGTCCTTAACTGGACCCAGCTACCTCGAGATTTATGCAGATAACAGACCTTTAACAAGGTTTGGGATCTAGAAAGAAAAAAAGCTGAAGCCAAGAAAGGTGGGAGTCTGGGCCCAAGTGGGTGAGAAGGAGCCCTCTCCTGCTATGACCATGGAGGGTGATGCCCCTATGCAAGAACTGACCGCTAAGGAGATTGGGGATGGGGGGATGGCACATTTTGTCCTGTTTCTCCAACCTAACACAAAACTAAAGACTGTGTTTGGGTGAATTGGCACAAATTAACCCCTTTTTCAGAGGAAAGAAGAATCATGTTTGAGAAAGAAGCACTAAGGGCATCATTCCAAAATTGGGGAGTCAAGTTTTCAACCATTGTTCTTTTGAGGATGAGGATGGGGATATTGCCCCCACTCCCATCTTACCTCTGCCACTTAGCTGAGAGCTGAACCTAACTGACCTAATTCCTATGGTTGGTCATTTAACATCTGTGTTGAGGTGCTTGGGGATGGACAAGGAATTTAAATGAAGAACTTGGGCTTTGACAGCAAATAAGACTGCTAGAGGGACTGCCAGTGCAGGGTTCTAGATGGACTGACACTATAGAAATGGGGCAGAGCCAGGTGTGGTGGCTCAAGCCTGTAATCCCAGCACTTTGGGAGGTCGAGGTGGGTGGATCACCTGAGGTAAAGAGCTCAAGACCAACCTGGCCAACATAGTGAAATCCCCGTCTCTACTAAAAATACAAAAATTAGCTGGATGTGGTGGTGGGTCCCTGTAATCCCAGCTACTTGGGAGGCTGAGGCAGGGAGAATCACTTGAACCAGGGAGGTGAAAGTTGCAGTGAGCTGAGATCATGCCATTGCACTCCAGCCTAGGCGACAGAAAAAATTAAAAAGAAAAGCAAAAAAGGTCGGGCGCAGTGGCTCAAGCCTGTAATCCCAGCACTTTGGGAGGCCGAGGCGGGTGAATCACGAGGTCAAGAGATTGAGACCATCCTGGTCAAAATGGTGAAACCCCGTCTCTACTAAAAATACAAAAAATCAGCTGGGCATGGTGGCCTGTGCCTGTAATCCCAGCTACTCAGGAGGCTGAGGCAGGAGAATTGCCTGAACCCAGGAGGCGGAGGTTGCGGTGAGCCCAGATTGCGCCATTGCACTCCAGCCTGGGTAACAAGAGCGAAACTCCGTCTCAAAAAAAAAAAAAGAAGGCCAAGCATGGTGGCTCATGCCTGTAATCCCAGCACTTTGGGAGGCTGAGGTGGGCAGACCACAAAGTCAGGAGTTTGAGACCAGCCTGGCCAACATGGTGAAACCCCATCTCTACTAACATGACAAAAATTAGCTGGGTGTGGTGGTGGGTGCCTGTATTCCCAGCTACTCAGCATATTCTTCTTGGCCAAAATAATTTCCTAAAGTGGAAATTAGAGTCCTGGAACAGTTTAAGTCAAGGGGATGAAAATGGCAACAGAGAGCTCTCCAACCACAGGCCAGCTATCAAGGGATTACGGACACCTTGATTGCTCGCTCGTTCAATCAAGATAGAGCATTGATTGAGCCTGGGAGGTGGAGGGTACAGTGAGCCAAGATCTCACCACTGCACTCCAGCCTGGGTAACAGAGCAAGACTCTATCTCAGGGAAAAAAAAATTGGGGCAGAACTGGCTTTAACCAGTCTGTAGTAACACTCCTTATATGTGGAAAAGCACTAAACATTGGCTCCTTTTTGGTCCAAGGTGACCATATTCTTTTGACTTTGACATCGTTTGTGGATCAGGAAAGGGATAATGTAGTAACTTTTTCTTAGGTATAAGTCAAGGACATGAATTGCATTTATATACTACTCTGCATTTTCTAGAATGGGTAACTTCACTTTTTCCCCTTTTTAAAATATTTTGGCTGGGTGTGGTGGCTCAGACCTGTAATCCTAATGCTTTGGGAGGCCACAGTGGGTGGATCTCTTGAGCCCAGGAGTTCTAGACCAGCCTGGGCAACATAGGGAAAGCCTGTCTTTACAAATGAAAAAATTAGGCATGGTGGTGCATGCTTGTAGTTCCAGGTACTCAGGAGGCTGGGCTGGGAGGATCACTTGGGCCCAGGAGTTTGAGGCTGCAGTGAGCTGTGATTGCACCATTGCACCCCAGCCCGGGCAACAGAGTAAGACCCCATCTAAAAAATAATTTTTTTAATAAAAATGTTTACAGGGTCCAAATGCAGATTTCTTACTGTATAATGGTACAGTCTGTGCTTTTAGTGTATCCATCTTTACTCTTCTTTCTACCTAGGCAAGAGAGGCATTTTAGGGATGAAAACCTCAAGACAGAATCTAAGCCAAGTTTCACATTACTGATTTCTTGTGATATTTGCTTCTGTAGAATCATTCAGTACAGTCAGTAGACTGAACTGACAAAACCCTTCAAGCCTTTGTTACCACTTTTCTACTACAGCCAGTAGCAAAACACAGATTTAGAGATGGACTGCTCTTAAAAGATGTTCAACCACCCAATCTTAAAAGATTGGTAGGTAGTTAACCACCTTCCTCTCCTGCAAGGTGACCCTGGACAGGACATTCTCTGGACTTGTTTCTCTTGGCATGACATACAGGATGTTGTGTAACACCTTGTTTTTCTTTAGCACTACATGCCTCCTCTCTGCTATGCATTTTATGTGGATTGTCCTGTGTAATTTTCACAATAGCCCAGATAATAAATGAGAAAACTAAGTCTCAGAGGAGAGCACCTGCTAACAAATGTCAGTGCAGTCTGATTTCTGAGCCTATGTCCTTAGGAACTTCCTGTACTATAAGTGAGATCTTTCCCAGCTATATATAATATGAATTCAGCATATTCTTCTCGGCCAAAATGATTTCCTGAAGTGGAAGTTAGGGTCCTGGAACAGTTTAAATCAAGGGGATGACAGGATGACAACAGAGAGCTCTCCAACCACAGGCCGAGCAGCAAACTTCCACTCCTAGCCTGAAACTGGCATTTCCTATAACCTTGCAATAGCCTCCCTCCCACACATACACTGTGCCCAGGCTGCCTGCAAAGCTTTGCTGGAGGTTGGGTGTCAGGTGTGAGAAGCTGCTGGCCGCTCCCTGCTCCCCTACAATGATCTACCTTCACCTCTGCCAGAGGATGGAACCACTCAGAACAGGAGGCCCATGGCAGCTCAAAGAAATTGATCAGAATAACTCATTTGTAAAAATCTGTTTAATAAATATACATAATAAAAGTACCAAAATAATTACCAACAATACACTATGTACACCATTTACAGGAGGGTAACACAAACCTTGACAGGTAGCAACTTTTAACCCCACACCACTGAAGGTTTAACACTCCTGGCTGTTACATGTCACAGGATACCACTGGGGTTAGTCACTCAAAGCACAATAAATATAAAATGTGGTCCTTCCATGAAATTTTTGATAACATTATCCAAACTCCCACAAAGGTAAAGCTTAAAAGAAGTTTTCTTGGAATTTCAATGATCTTTCTTGTCCCCTACAAAAAGTTCACGAAAGTAACAAAACGAGGGCTGATCCCACCACAGTAAAATGTTTTGGGCCAGGCAGTGTGCAGTATGGATATAAGTACACCCTTTAAATTTTTTTTTTTTTTTTTTTTTTTTTTTTAAGAAAAATAAAACTCTCTTTTTGTACAAATATACAAGTCCACGTTCTTTCAGACCCTTTGTGCTCATAATGTCAGACGCTGGCCTGCAAACACACAGTCATCATAGGGGAGCTGAAAACAAAGGGAAAAAAAGAACGTTAAACTTCTGGAGCTCTGCCAAGCTATTGGGATGGGGAAGCTGCTACTGGAAATAACACTTGGACTCCATTCTCCGTAGCCCAAATATAGTGAACTTTACAGGTTGAGGGAGTTTGCCTTTAATGCTTCTCTTTTAAAAAAAACAGTGCGCTATTAAAAAAAAAAAAAAAGGCACATTCTTGGGATACTGGTTATACACAGAAATTTGAGAGATTCATTACATGGACATTCCTCTAATGAAGAGCAGCTCTAGGGGACTGGGAGGGTGAAGGGAAAGCCCCCCCGCCATTAATTTCACAGAATACTGAAGCAGTTCAGACTCACCTCATCCTCCGTGAATTCTGACTCTGTGTCATAGCTCTCCTCATCCTCACTCTCTGGCAGCATCTGAAGGTTTTCTAGTGTCAGCTGGCCCAGCTGCTGCTGTATCCGGGTGCTTGGGCGACCCCAGGTAAGCTGGTAAGGGGAGTAGCCCTGGTAGGTAACTCTGTTGACATCAGCCCCACACTTCAGCAGGAGCGACACCAAGTCAGGATTCTGCAGGTCCACTGCGAGGTGAAGGGCAGTCCGGCCATTACAGGGCTCCTGAAACCAAAAGGAATTTGAGATGCCTATGGCTGCGTTTGGAATTTCTGCTTGCAACACAAGCACGAGGAGCTTGACTCAGAACATGGGAGGCAGGAAGCACTCACCTGAGCATTGACATCAGCACCCAAGGATACCAAAAGCTCCACGATGCCCAGGTAGCCATGGATAGAAGCTAAGTGCAGACACGTGTGGCCTGGAAGAACAAAAGGAAAAAAGCATAACCATTTGTTTCAACCCTCCTAAAGCAGCACCTTTCACCTATTCTTTTATGGGACAAACAGTCATGTCTTCTGAATTTTAAGAACCCCAGTCTGGGTTCTGAAGGGACTTTTAAAATGTATCCAATAGGCATATTGCACACATCTTTTCTCGATCTTTCACAGGTTGGGAGTTTAAGCTCTTTCCTGGACTCCCTAAGTTGGCCCACGTGCCCTTTCTGCATGTCACCTGCCCTCTGAGGGGGTGGGGCAGGGCAGGAAGGCAGACATACCATTGTAGTTGGTAGCTTTCAGGATGGAGTGGAGGTGTGGGGTGGTGCAGGCCTGAGTCAGGACTCCCACGCTGGCCAGGCAGCCCTGCTCACAGGCAAGGTGTAGGGGGGTATTTCCTCGAAAGTCTCGGAGCTCAGGATCACAGCCAGCTCCCAGAAGTGCCTCAGCAATTTCTGGCTGGTTGGTGATCACAGCCAAGTGTAGTGGAGTCTACCAGTGCAAGAGAAACCAGAGAGAGTAAGCCATGAATCAAACCCACACCCCGAGTTCCCCGGATCCCCAATGTCTCCTGGTTGGGTGCTGCTCCTCCCAGGTGGGAGGGTGGGGAGGGCTGGCAAATAGCAGAGGCTCCAGGTGGGTCATAAAGACCTCACCAAATCCATAGAATTTCCTTCCCTCTCTAGGATGGGGGCTGATGCGAAGTAAACGGCAGGGGTGAATAATGCCCAGTGGCCCTTAATTCAGAAAGGATCTGGGGTGACTCTGCTACATCAGCTCTGTCCCAGGGTCAAAGAAAGCCCGGGCCAGGCACGTGCGCACCTGCTGCAGGTTGTTCTGGAAGTTGAGGAAGGCCACGTCTCCCTTCACCTGGCGGATTACTTCCATGGTAAGTGCCTTTTCTTCATGGATGATGGCCAAGTGCAGGAACCTGTGGGGAAGAGGGAAAAACCCCCAGGGGTGGTGAGTGCACCGCGTGGGGCCCAGGGAGGCGCGGGCTGCGGGGGATTGCGCAAGGCCGGGGTTTCTGGAGGCCGAGGCCGCGGTGTTTTCCGCGAGGTTATTATGAGCTGAGTGTTCCTGGCAGGCGCCCAGGGACTTTCCGCCCCCCTCCTTCAGGCCTCGGCGGGCGCCGGCCAGACCGCCCCGCCCTCCCGCCGGCTCGGAACGCCCTGTACTTCCCCTCCCGGCTGCAAGGCGCCCGCCAGCGGCCAGAAACTCCCGCCCCGCCTTATGCAACCGGGGACTTCGCGTCCCCACCGCCGCCCCGCCCCCGGCCTAGAGGACGGATGGGGGGGAGGGGGCGTGTGGCGACGCTGCGGTCCACCAGAGCCGAGCCTCTGCCCCTCCTAGTCCAGCCGGAGTCCCGCGCGGCCCTGCGGCCCTGCAGCGTTCGGCGCCGTGCAGGAGCCCCGGGGCGCCGCGGTGCTGGCCCGGCTGCAGCGCTGGTCCCCGGGCTCGGGCTGCAGGCCCAGCACCCCCCAAGCCCCGCCTGCGCGCGTCCGGTCCTCCCAACGACCCCTGGCCCGCGCCACTTACGAGTCCCCGTCCTCGGTGAGCTGCTGCTTCCAGGGCTCGGCGCCGTGCTGCGCCTCCTGCGGCTCTAGGCGGATCTCCCGCAGCTCCTTGACCATCTGCTCGTACTCCTCGTCCTTCATAGAGTCCAGGCCGCTGTCGTGGCGGTCGTCCAGCAGCCGCTCCTTCTTCAGCCCATCGCGGAGGCCCTCCATGGCCCACTCGGCTGCCTGGAACATTGCTCGGGCGAGCTGTGGGTGCTGCTGCGGGTGCGCTGGGCCGCGGGCTGCGCGCTGCTTCCTCGCTGGAGCGCTGGCGAACGGTACGGCGGCGCGGGCTGCTGTGGGCTCTGCAGCGCCGCCCCAACGCCCTTATAAACGCTGGCTGGGGATTTCTCTGGGGCGGGGTCAGGCGCGGGGAATTTCCAAGCCAGTCAGACCAGAAAAGAGAACTGGCTTCGTCCTCTGCTAGGGGGAAAAAGAAGCCTAAACCCTGAGCTGGGGTTCATCGGAGAAACTCCCTGCGATGAGGCACTGGGGTCACGGACAGGGAACTTTTTGATGAGCGCCGAGTGGCTGGAAAGTCCTTCCTACCAGGCCCCCTGCCCCCGGTACTTCCCTGCAGCCTGCACCCTGTAATCCTGTCCCTCTGCAAGTTAACCATTTTTCCCTGGGGTTTCCCACGATCGCTTTGAATTGGGGTCGTCGGCTGCTGAGATCCCAAGGACGCCGACCTGATGGGCAGTCCTTCTTTGGGGTTTGCCAACCTGCCGGTCTTTTCCGTTTTTTGATCTTTTGAAAACGCAAGAGTGGAAATGATGGCTGGGTGTAGGGATTTGCTTTCCGCAGACTTCTCTCTAAGGGGAAGGACGCACTGTGATTAGAAGGCTGCAGGCCGCCGACGTGTTTCTACCAATACCAGGCTCTTTGCAGCACCGGGACGCTTAGCTTCTCCACCCCCACCCCCACCCCCACCCCCACCCCCACCCCCACCCCCGCACACCCCGCCAGATAGAAGTTGTGAAAGCTTTGGAGTGAAAACCTAAATCCTTGGAGAACTCTCAAATAAGTTCCTATGGAAGAAGAGCTCTGTTGACTGGGGGAGGGGTGAACTCTCCCTGTACGGGGGAAACTGCTAAATAGGACCAGGATTTTCTTCCCCCTAAGTAAAGCTAGGTGCTAATCTTTGTAGTAGTGGTTGTGGATACTTTGCAATAACAAAATAACTATTGTGTTCCTAAGTAGCGATTTTGTTCATGCTCTCTGACCTACATTGTGCTGCTGCAGAGAATGGATCCTGAGCCTACTTCTGGGTGCAAACTGAGCAATTCTCCAGGAACACTTGGAGAAGGAGACTGAAGAATGAGTTTAGTTAGTACCTTAAACCGCGCTTGGACCGTAAGGACCACTAAGAAACTAGTTGCCAGGCATCCTGCGGGAGGCTGAAGGCAGTCTGGTCCTGCCCGCCCCTCCTTGCTCCGTTGTCCGGGGGGACGGTAGCAGTTGGACTCATTCATGCCACCCAGGTAGAAAGGGGTTTGGGCTCACTGTGCTCTGGTTTTACCTGCAGAAATAGAATTTTTGCTCTCCACCCCATCTCCACCTCCAAGTCTACAAGTCATGGACTGAATTCTACTTGATAGAGTTGGTATAGGCAAAAGAAAGCAAACTTCAATCAGAGCTCTTCAGGATTAGTCCCGGGAGGCCTCTATAGTTCTGCAGAGATTTCTGGTGATTATTGCAGTCATCTTTACCTTGACTGGCCATGTACTAACCAATCCTTCCCCTCTCTTCAAATCTCCACCTTTCCCCCAATATTAGAATATAAGAAATCTGACTCAACAGAGATAGACCAAGTGTGAAGGAAAAAAAATTAAAATCAGATAGAACCTCCAGGGTAGTAATGATCACATGTTACAATGAAAACTTCCCAGGGATAGACACCATTGTCTCTGTAGGCTTATGATATGCAAATACACAATGATTGCGGCAAGATGAAACGTGACTGCAGTCGGAGCATCTCAATTCTGGGTTCTGTCTTTACTGAACTGCACATTAGTTGGAGAGATCAGTTAACATTTTTGTGGTATACTTACTTTTTTTTTTTTTTTTTGGTATACTTACTTTTATAATAAGATTGCTTCTTAAGGTCTTTTCTAGCTTTAAAGTCGTATTACTTGTCTACAAATGCATGCCTGACTCTGCTTCTGTAAGGGTGACTATGGCTTTTGGAAATGCCATAAATTTTTGAAAGAACTCCAGCACTTTATGCATCACATTGTTAGTTCTCAGAAGTAATCCTGTAAGATAGATATTGTTCCTACTTTCCTAAAAAGAAACTGAAATGCATAGAAATTTACCCAGAAACCCCTTGGCAGTATATTAATCATTTGGCCAAAGCAGTCTTAGTATTAACACTTTTGAAAACACACTGTGAAAATCAGACCGACTACCCTATAATTTGGAATACACTCAAAACGATTTTCTACTCCGTTAGGGAAAATAAAGGGTGGATGTCCCCCAACCCCCATCTGGGGATATTCATTTCTTTTAAATATGTACAGAAACATCAAACTCTAAATGTCCCTCTTATAGAGGATACATCAGAAGAAGATATTTGGCTGAAGGCATAAAAATGGTTGTAAAAAATAAAAACATAAAATAATTTAAAAAATAAATAAATAAAAATAAGGTTTTTTTGCTACCACCTTCTATAGTTTTTATATTTCTGGAAGCCTTCAGGATTTGGTGGTCTTTATTCCTAATTGTTTCGTGTGACACCTAGTGGTAAGAGTAAGGCATTCCTTGATTTGTCACCGTGCCTTCTGAAAAAATTGGGAGGTACTGAGCCTTGATGAGTTGTCCCTACAGTGGAGATTCCCAAGGAGGTATCTTTTGTTTTCCTGCAACTTTAGGAAATAGTTTTGAATAATCTGATCCAACAGGTTTTCTCCCCATCATCTATAGTGCTATATGGTTTAAGTCAACAAACTTTACAATATCAGTAAAAAAGAATATACACTTGGAAATTAGAACCATGAGCAGATTGGGCAGAACACATGGAAAGGGTCTGATTTTGATTTGGAAAGACCTTTATGGGTCGGGAATGGTGGCTCACTCCTGTAATTTCAGCACTTTGGGAGGCTGAGGCGGGAGGATTGCTTGCCACCCAGGAGTTGGAGACCAGTCCGGGCAACAAAGTGAAACTCTGTTGCTACAAAAAACACAATTAGCAGAGTGTGGTAGCAGGTGCCTGTAGTCCCAGCTACTTGGGAGGCAGAAGTGGGTGAATCGCTCAAGCCAGGGAGATGGAGTTTGCAGTGAGCCGTGATGGCACCACTGCACTCCAGCTTGAACAACAACCGAGACCCTGTCTCAAAAAAAAAGACCTTTAAGCTACATATCTTTTCCCACAGAAAAACAAGGCTGGGTGTGGTGCCTCACACCTGTAATCCCAGCATTTTGAGAGGCCAAGGTGGGCAGATCACCTGAGGTCAGGAGTTCAGCACTGATTTTCTCAGATTTTTCTTCTCCTTGTTGTCAAACATTTTAGCTAACCATAACCATTTTTAAAAACGTTAAAACTTTAGGCTGGGTGCAGTGGCTCACACCTGTAATCCCAGCACTTTGGTGGGTGGCTCATGAGGTCAGGAGTTCAAGACCAGCCTGGCCAACACAGTGAAACCCTGTCTCTAATAAAGATACAAAAAATTAGCCAGGCGTGGTGGTGCATGCCTATAATCCCAGCTACTCGGGAGGCAGGAGAATTGCTTGAACCCAGGAGGCAGAGATTGAAGTGAGCCAAGATTGCACCATTGCATTTCAGCCTGGGTGACAGGGCGAGTCTCCGTCTCAAAAAACAAATTAAAAAATTAGAGAACTAAATTTTTTTAATGGTTAGAACTAATTTTTAATATCATTTGGCCTTTTTAATGCATAAGGCAAAATAATAAGTTGCACCTCAAAGTTGCACCTTTGTATTTTGGCCCAGGATGCAGCCATAGGAAATGACAGGATGGCCAGTGATGCTCCAGGAGCACCCCCAGGGGAGAAGGAGCATCACCAGGGCCCGGTTTGTCTGCAGCCACTTCAGGCACTCCTCCTTCATGGAACATACACAATATGGACAAAACCTATTGCCTGAAGCGCTGGTGGTCTGGCAGCATGCAGAGGGTCTACAGATCCAGGCAGGTGATGCAACATCCTCAGGTTTTCTTGATATCATGAGCAGGGTGGCAGTGCCAACTGGCCTGGCCAATTTAAACAATTGTTTTGGCCCCAGCAAATTCAACTCTGGAATCAGGATAGCCATTGCTCAGTGCAGCTAGGCTGGAAGAGAGACGAGCCATGACAGAGTTCCTGAAGAGCAAGCAAGGGAGGTGCACTCCTGACTGGCAGCCCCACTGTGAAATTCTCAACTTATATTCTGCTTTCAATCTCAGGCTGTTTTCTTCCTGCTATAGTGGTAGAAACTGTCTGCATCCTCTTCAGAACATGGAGCCCCCAAGCTACATATGTTTTCCCATAGAAAAACAAGGCTGGGTGTAGTGCCTCCTGCCTGTAATCCCAGCACTTTGGGAAGCCAAGGTGGGCGGATCACCTGAGGTCAGGAGTTTGAGACCAGCCTGGCTAACATGGTGAAACCCTGTCTCTACTCAAAATACAAAAATTAGCTGGCACAGTGGTGCGCATCTGTAATCCCAGCTACTTGAGAGGCTGAGGCAGGAGAATCACTTGAACCCAGGAAGTAGAGGTTGCCCTCCAGCCTGGGCAGCAGAGAAACTCTGTCTCAAAAAAAAACAACAGTGCTCGCTTTGGCAGCACATATACTAAAATTGGAACGATACAGAGAAGATTAGCATGGCCCCCGCACATGGATGACACTTCTTTAATAAAAACAACACCAAAAAGAAAAACCACCACCACAACAAAAACAAAAAAACCAAACCAGCTGTCAAGGACCTTTATCTGTAGTGAAAATAGACTGCCAAATCCTTAATGTGTTTGCTTCGCTATAAATTCTGCAATTTAATGTGAATCAAAGCTTTAAAGGATCTCAAACTCAAATACTTACGCATAGGGAGCAGGCAGGTTTCATAGATGAGTGAAGCAGACCATTTGAGTCCAAAAGGAGTGGGATCTCCACCATCTTAGCTCAGACAACTTTGGCCATGTATTACTTTTGGTTCAGTAGTGACCTTCCTTTTTTTTTCATTTTTTTTTATGGTGCCGTGACTTGGAACCATTGTTAAAGAAAAAAAAAAATTGGCCCAGCTCCATGGCTCATGCCTGCAATCCCAACACTTTGAGAGGCCAAGGCAGGAGGAGTTTGAGACCAGCCTGGGCAACATAGTGAGACCCTATATCTATAAAAATAAAAATAGCCGGCTCTGTGGCTCATGCCTGTAATCCCAGCACTTTGGAAGGCTGAGGCAGGTGGATCACGAGGTCAGGAGTTAAGACCAGCCTGGCCAAGATGGTGAAACCCCATCTCTACTAAAAATACAAAAAGTAGCCAAGTGTGGTAGTAGGTGCCTGTAATCCCAGCTATTTGGGAGGCTAAGGCAGGAGAATTGCTTGAACCCAGGTGGCAGAGGTTGCAGTGAGCCAAGATCGCACCACTGCACTCCAGCCGGGGTGACAGAGTGAGACTGTGTCTCAAAAAAAAAAAAAAAGGAAAGTAAAAATAATAAAAATAAATAAATAAATTAAAAAGTTAGCCAGGTGTGGTGGCACACGTCTGTAGTCCTAGCTACTTGAGAGACTGAGGTGGGATAATTGCTTAATCCCGGGATGTTGAGGCTGCAGTGAGCCGTGCTTGTGTCACTGAGCTCCAGCCTGGGCAACAGAGTGAGATCTTGACTCAAACAAACAAACCAACATGAAAACATTATGGAAACTAAACACAATAAACATTTCTGCATCTATTGGCTAAACAGCGCCTCCAAGCTTCTAGTTTACAACCTCTTTTTCATCCAAGGTCTGTTTTCATTGCATTTTGCTGGAGGCACAACCCTCTGCTCTTGGCATCACTGGGTCTCTGCTCCTATGTAACGAGACTGGGGACAAACTGTGTCCATCCCTGATATGCAGGACTGCTCTTGCCAGGCAGGATTGGAATTAGGGGCTCTAACCTCTGAAAAGTGAGTTTTTCCTCCCTCAAAGCAATTATTTATTTATTTTTTTTGTTTTAAGATGGAGTTTCTCTCTTGTTGCCCAGGCTGGAGTGCAATGGTACAATCTTGGCTCACTGCAACCTCTGCCTCCAGGGTTCAAGTGATTCTCCTGCCTCAGCCTCCTGAGTAGCTGGGATTGCAGGCACCTGCCACCATGACTGGCTAAGTTTTTGTACTTTTAGTAGAGATGGGGTTTCACTATGTTGGCCAGACTGGTCCGAAACTCCTGACCTCAAGTGATTCACCTGCCTTGGCCTCCCAAAGTGCTGGGATTATAGGCATGAGCCACCATGCCCAGCCCATTTGTTTTTTGAGACAAAGTCTTGCTGAGTCACCTAGGCTGGAGTGCTGTGTCATGATCACAGTTCACTCTAGCCTTAATCTCCTCTGATCAAGCAATCCTCCCACCTCAGCCTCCCATGCAGTGGGACCACAGGCACACGCCACTGTGCCTAGCTAATTTTTAAAATTTTTTGTGGAGATGAGTCTCTTTGTGCTGCCCAGCCTGGTTTTGAGCTTCTGGGTTCAAGTGAGCTTCACCTTCCAAAATGCTGAGATTATGGGTGTGAGCCACTGCACCCTGCCCCAAAGCAATTTTTAAACACTACACTGTAAAATAAGCATAATAAGTCCAACAAAGTTCTGATTTTTCTCATGATGACTACTTATGTTGTTTTAAGGAATCAGATTACATGAGTAAACATCTCTGGAGGTGTACCTGCTCTGCTGGTGCTCTAACTGCATACCCGTCTGCCTCTTGGGTAACCTGCTGTGAGGGAAGGAGGAAGCCTGCACGTGTCACCCGTGGCCAGAATTCCTGGCTCTCCCTCTTCATGGTTGTTGACAATAACCAAGCAATATTTATAGGTGTGTAGCATTGTTCATGGCCTGCTGTGTTCGGGGAGGAGTAGTTGGATCAGGAAGGTGGTAGAGGCTTAGCACAGTTTCCCCTGCATGCTAGCGCATTTGCTATTTTGTCTTGGGTATAAATTCATTCTGAGTTTAGTCAGGGTATGAGAATACTTAGCACTAGGGAACTTCCACACAAGAGCCTGGTACTTGGCAGGAGATGAGACAAATTATATGGGGTCCTTGTTCTTTGGTACATTAGGCTCATGATCCTTCTCAGCTGGGGGCGGGGGCTAAGCTGAATCCACCAACAGAAACCACATGGAGAGGTAGACACTTCCCCACTACAGTCTAAGGTCTTGGGAATAGTTTAGGAAAAAGGAAAACAGAATCAGAGCTGCTAAGAGAGAGAGACAGATACAAACAGAGTAAGGATTTAGGAAGCTTGATCTTGAGACTTTTCTTGTAAGCACTAAAATAATGCCTTTCCCAGACTTCCTTTTAGAGCCTCTATTCTCTGGAGTAAAACCTCAGAGTATTTGGATAAGTATTAGAAATTGAGATTGGTTTCTGAGGTTATTACTGGGGAAGGGTACCACAATAATACAGTTTCTGAAAGTTTTTCTTAGGTTAATTTTTTTTCTTTTGAGACAGGATCTCACTCTGTCACCCAGGCTGGGGCACAATCACAGCTTACTGCAGTCTTGACCTTCTGGGCCTACACAATCCTTCTGCCTCAGCCTCCCATGCAGCTGGAATTACAGGTACGTGCCATCACACCAGGCTAATTTTTGTATTTTTAGTAGAGATGTTGGCCAGGCTGGTCTCCAACTCCTGATCTCAGGTGATCCACCTGCCTCAGCCTCCCAAAGTGTTGGGATTATAGGCGCAAGCCATCACGCCTGGCCTGGCCAGGTTTATTTATTTTTTTGACACAGGGTCTCACTTTGTTGCCTAGGCTGAGTGCAGTGGCACGATCTCGGCTCACTGCAACCTCCGCCTCCTGGGTTCAAGTGATTCTCATGGCTCAGCCTCCTTAGTAGCTGGGACTACAGGTACCTTCCAGCATGCCTGGCTTATTTTTGTATTATTGGTTAAAATGGGGTTTTGCCATGTTGGCCACGCTGGTCTCAAACTCCAGAACTCAAATGATCTGCTGCCTCCCAAAGTGCTGGGATTACAGGTGTGAACCATCTTGCCTGGCCTATTTTTAAACACTGAAAGCAAATGAGAAACAGTGAGAAGGATCACAAATAGAAGTCATGAGCAGGAAAAAAGGGGAGAAATTGACCTGCAACATTTTTTCTTTGTTACTAGGTCTTTTTTTTTTTTTTAAGACGGGGTTTCACCATGTTGGTCAGGCTGTTCTTGAACTCCCAACTTCAGGTGATCTGCCCGCCTTGGCATCCAAAGTGCTTGATTACAGGCGTGAGCCACCACGGCGCCCGGCCTTAGCTGTCAGAGTCCAGTCCCATGACTGTGACATAGTCCCTCTGGATAAGTCACTTAGCTTGACTTAGGAATGTTCATCATTTCCTATATCTCAGGGCTGTTTATAGGGTAACGTGTAGTAATTATTTTGCTAAAAACACTACTATTTTCAGAAAGTGAGTCAAAGTAATGCATCACCAAATCTTTAAATGCTAATATTTGAAAATTGGGCCAGTTTGGAAGAGTGTGAGAAAAGAGGGAATAAAGTGTCTGTCCCTGTACTCACTGATTGAAACTCAAGCGGCTAGGCGGAAATGGGTGAGGTTGACAGCCCAGTATAAAGTTTTGCTAGAAATCTAAATGAACATTATGAAGAGAGAACAGGGAAGCACATAGATAACCCAGTCTCAATGTTGTCAGGGCATCAGAAAAACATTGTGCTGGATTTCAGAGCAAGGGGATGGGAGTCACAGGGTAAAGGGAGGAGACTGCGCAGAGCAGGAGCAGGGGCTACCGGAGTCCGGAAGGAAGGGAGCCAAGGGGGAATTTTCCCTTCACAAATGGCAGGGCGGAACACTAACACAAGGATCACAGTATATGCATGGTGCTGTCTGCAGTGACATCTTCTGGCCATTTGTGGAAGAAGTTTTCTCTGAGACATCACCGATTCTTGAGAAAAGGAATTTAGGAAAGTTGGGTTGAGGATGTACACTGGACTGGATATGGATTTTTGTGATTGTGGTACATCACTTAATATAGTTCCAAGAGAAAGACCCCCACTTTTTCTGTGACTGTTACTTTTCCTTCAGTCCCTGTAGCCAGTCAGCTCAGTGCATCCTGCTATTGAAATAACACCTGGATCATACTCTTCCTTCCATCTTCACTGTCCCCACAGTAGTGCAGACTGTCTTGTACCATGGTAGCTTCTTGGTACGTTTTTTTGAGGGGGGGCGGAGTCTTATTCTGTCGCCCAGGCTGGAGTGCAGTGGCACAATCTTGGCTCACTGCAACCTATGCCTCCCAGGTTCAAGCAATTCTGCCTCAGCCTCCCGAGTGTGCTGGGACTACAGGTGTGCATGCCACCACGCCTGGCTAATTTTTTATTTTTAGTTGAGATGGGGTTTCACCATGTAGGCCTGGCTGGTGTCGAACTCCTGACCTCAGGTAATCCACCTGCCTCAGCCTCCCAAAGTGCTGGGCTTACAAGTGTGAGCCACCAACGCTGGCTGGTACTTATTATTTATATTGTTCACTAGGACAGGGATTTGATATAATTATCTTATTTAATCTTCATGAACATTCTACTGGGGAGGGGATCATTTTAAAGGAAATTGTATTCATTTTAAAGGAGGTTGAGTTTCAGAAAGTTTCAGTAACTCACTTGGAAGGCAGTAGCTGGGAAATCTCAGATCCCACATTCTGATCCATCACCCTACACTGCTCCTCCTGTGGCTCCCCTCCATGCCCTACAGAGCTTGACTGCTCCTATTTTTAAAATTTTCAAAGGTTTTGGCATGGGGAGAAATAACACTGGGAGAAATGCCTGATGTAGGTGACGAGGGGATGGAGACAGCAAACCACCATGGCGTGTATGTACCTATGCAACAGTCCTGAAAGGTCTGTACATGTACCCCAGAACTTAAAGTACAATTTTAAAAAAAAGAAAAAAATGGTATTGGCATAAATCATACATTATACATAGTTTCAAAAATGATATATATCATATAAAATATTTATTATGTTATATAGTTCATATATACATAATTATATATACATGTGTACATGCATGCAAGCGTGCGTGCACGCGCGCGCGCGCGCGCACACACACACACACACACACACACACACAGTTAAAAATGAATTAATTTTTTTTTTTGTTTTGGATGGAGTTTTGCTCTTGTTGCCCAGGCTGGAGTGCAATAGCAAAATCTCAGCTTACTGCAACCTCCTCTACCCGGGTTCAAGCAATTCTCCTGCCTCAGCCTCCCCAGTAGCTGGGATTACAGATGCCCGCCATCAGACCCAGCTAATTTTTGTATTTTTAGTAGAGATGAAGTTTCACCATGTTGGCCAGGCTGGTCTCAAATTCCTGGCCACAGGCAATCCAGCCCCCTCAGCCCCCCAAAGTGCTGGGATTAGAGGTGCAAGCCCAGCAAAAATGAATTAATTTTTAAGTGGAAACGTAATACCTTCATGTGGTTAAAAAAAAAAACAAGCAGTCTAAAAAGGTTGCAATTACACAATTAAATCTCTCCTCATTTTTTTTGTTGCCCAGGCTGGAGTGCAACTGCATGATCTCAGCTCACTTCAACCTCCCTGTCCCAGATACAAGCGATTCACCTGCCTCAGCCTCCTGAGTAGCTGGGATTACAGGCATGTACCACCATGCCCAGCTGATTTTTTTTATTTTTAGTAGAGACGGAGCTCCACCATATTGGTCAGGCTGGTCTTAAATCCTGACCTCAGGTGATCCACACGCCTCGGCTTCCCAATGTGCTGGGATTACAGGTGTGAGGCACAGTGCCTGGCCTAAATTTGTTTTCACTGAGTCTTCTAATACACGTTTTCATCATATCATTTCCTGTAACTGAGTCTCTGTTGACCTACCATGGCCTGCAGGAAACAGTCTGAATTCCTCAGCTGCATTTAAAGCCCTCCAGAGTCAGACTCCATTTGCCCAGCCATTCCTCATTGCCATTTCCCCCCAGCACCAACACTTTGTGCCAGCTGCTCTAGCCTTCGTGCAGGCCTCTCCCTCCCTGTTCAAGGACCGCCTTCTTTCAGCTTCCTCACCAGAGCCCACCCTTTCCAAAACCCCTTTGCTGTCTTCTTGGAGCACTCTGCCTTCTTCTGAATCCTTCTAGTTCTTATAGCTTGTCTTGAATATTGGGCCACATATTGTCTTATACTGCTTAGTTGTTGCTTGTGTCATATTTTGACCCCTAGTTAAACATGGAATAGTGCTGGGTGGAGTGGGGCTGCTGGGTGGGGAGGAGACATTCATTTCTCCTGTCTGCCTTATTCTGGGTTTCCCTTGCCATAGTTTCAGGCATGAGTATCCCCTTTGCTTCATAATTCATAATTTGTCATACTTTTTCTTGGACCTCCTTCTCTGTTAACACCTTACTTTGCATGCAGTCAATTTCCTTCTTTTCTATGTAGAAATTATCTCAAGAGGTCTATTGGGTCCAACTTCTGCTTTCAGTGAGTAAAGTGTTATCATTCCCATTTTATAAAGGACGCAGACACTCTGAAATAAAGGCTATTAGGAGGATGGGGGCAAACCAAAGCTACCATATCCCAACCTGTCCTAGAGGAATGAAACATTAGTAGGAGAAGTGAACAGATTATAAATAGACCTAGATAGTGTCCTCCTTCCCTTTTCTTTTCTGTTGCCTGAGAGTAACCTCTGGGGTGGAACCCAGGGTAGTAGGGAAGGCTCCTTTTCAAACCTTCAGTTAAGGAGATAGGTGAGGTCCTGGAGGCTTGCTTAGTCCAGCTCTCCAGGGCAAGAGATTAACAGGAAATTAGGGCAGAAGCTCTAGTTTAGAGGAATAGATTAGCATTTGCTTGGAGTATTCCCATGTTAGAAATTCACTGGGAACATAGAATGGTGGGAAGGAAGCAGAATGAGAATGAGTGTGGTTGGTTGACAGGCCATCTGACAAGGTGTTGCATACTTAGACCTCTCATTGAGGACTGCAAGGCTAATGCCCATGGACATGTGACTGGCTGGCCCAGGTAGGTGTGTGGTGGCTAAGGCTCACCAGTTGCCCTTCTGGGGCACTCTTTAATGGCTTTCAGAAGCAGAGGTATTTTCAACACCAAAATTTCATGAGCTCAAGAGCTTGACCCAGTTGAACAGAGTATACATAGACTAATACAATCAATATTTAAAATAAGCCCATGGTGTACAAAGAATGATGTATGCTTTGCAGCCTGTCTGACTAAGGCAACATCTGGAACAATTTGTTTCCCAGGAAAGTTTCCCTTGAACAGGAAACCCTAGGCAGTTTAGATTATCCAGGTAGACTCCACATCTTGGACTTTGATCACAGAGAACTTCATTCAAATACGATTACATTTGAACATACACTAAATTGTTTTATAAAAGTAGTACAGGAGGCTATTAGATGTATTGAGCATCAGGGCATCACTGCAGCTTTCCACTGTTAAAGGCCTTAACCCTCTCACTTTTTTTTTTTTTTCTCTCAACATTGAGTCTAGCGATTTGTCAGGCCAGCTCGGGGTTATTATATCAGTGACAAGACTGGAAATTAACACAGAGTTATATGGGAGGGCTGTTGTCTGCAGAGTGTTGAACTGAAGCTAAAAATAGGTGGGGATTCCTGGGGCAGACTCCTTCATGGTCACAGACACCACAAAAGGAAAACTCAGCAGGGAAATTTGCTTTCAAGCCCTGCCCACAAGGGAGGGTAAAAGCCCCCACCTCTGTCATTCCCCACAGCTTCTGCTCCACAGGAAAAGCTCAGGACCACAGTGACTTTGGTGCTTTCAAAATGTCAGGGCTCTCACAGACAGGTTGTCACCCCTTCCCGCCCCCGGATTTCTGATCAAAGGTTTTCCCTCTGGGTAAATTCACTTTCTTAGTTCAAGCTCACATGTCTGTTCCTGACTGCCTGTAGCTATGTTTTATCACAGGCCTGATTAAGATAAAGGGAATGTGAAATATTGACACACAGGGTTAATGTGGAAAAAAAAAAGAAACTCTAAAGAAGAAAAGCTCTGTAGGTAGAGAAAAAAAACCTCATTAATTTGTCGTTTTCTTAAGCACTTTTTTTTTGGTGCCAGGCATTACACTGGGATATGGAGCATAATAAAAATAAATTTTTATTTGCAAAATAAAAATATATATGATTCCTGCTGTCAAGGCGCTTCTAGGCTGGTGAGAAGACCAGCAGGTAAATGAGTGATTCTAGTAGGGAGGGATCAGAGATGTGGCTGAGGCCTGAACAAGTGTCCTGGGAGCATGAAGCAGGGGAAGCAATGCCACACTGTTAGGGATGGTCCAGGGCAGCTGTTGAAAGACAAGTCAGAGTCAGGAGGGGGAAGAAGGATGTGCAGGCAGAGGGTTAAGCCTGTGGTGGGCCTGGAGGTGTGAATGCAGCAGCTCCACAGGGCTTGCTGTGTGGGAGAGGGAGATGAGTAGGCAGGAAAGACACAGCACATAGCCATGTGAACGAGCCAAGAAGCTGGACCTGGCCCTGAAAACTGTGGAGGGTCACTAATCAGGTGCTTTAGGAGACAGTATGGCAAATAGACTGGAGTGAGTTAGGCCTGAGGCTGGTGGCTGGTTAAAGACAGTGACTGGAGGCCACTCTCAATGGCTTGTGCCTGTAATCCCAGCACTTTGGGAGACTGAGGCGAGTGGATCACCTGAGGTCAGGATTTTGAGACCAGAGTAGCCAACATGATGAAACCCATCTCTACTAAAAATACAAAAATTAGTTGAATGCAGTGGCATGTGCCTGTAATGACATAGAGCGAAACTCTGTCTCCAAAAAAAAAAAAAAAGTGACTGGAAAGTGACATGACTACAGAGAGATCTAAGAACAAGAATTTACAGGTCTGAGTAACTGACTGGATGTAAAGGAAACAGGGAAGAATCTAGGAGCTCTGTTTCTGACTTTGGTTACTTAATGGAAAAACAGGAAGAAGAGCAGGTTGAGGGGAAGATGGTGGGTCCAATCTTAGACACATTAATTTAAAGAGCCTGGTAGATCCAAACAGCCAGTTTAATGAGAAGAGTTCTAAAAGCATGCAATATATTGGGAGTCATTGACATTTGAGAAACGGACAAGGCCACCCAGGAATTGTGCATAGAAGTTCAAACACCAAGACTGGGAACACCTAGAAGTGAGCTTGGCTGAGAAGCTGGCAAAGGAAACTGAGAGGTGGGGGGAAAAGCAGAAGAGAGGGCTGCCCAAAAGCTGAAGACCAAGAGAAGTACAAGAAAGCGTCTTCGTAAAGAGTGTCAAGTGTTGCAAGATTGCATGTCTATATGAAATTGCACAGATATGCTAAAGCTCGTAAATTCAGGCTAACTTGAGAATAAAAAGGCTGGGCTGAAAAAAAAGTTATATTTAAGATATGATGTTTAATAACTTTTAAATACACAATTACAAGACTAACTAAAAGGCTCCTTCAGGGCTGTGATTCAAAGACTTACCATTATTTCATTAAAAGCATATAATGAAAATGCGGCATCTCCTTCATTTAAAAACCCAAATCTCTAGATATTGAGCCTGGTGCTTCTTCCTCTATCAGTGGTGGGTTCCCAAACTTTGCCTTGTATGAGAGTCACCTGGAGAGTTTTTTAAACCATAGCTTTCTAGGCCCCACCCCAGATATTTTTATTCAGTAAATCTGGGTTGGTGCCTGAGAATGCCTCTCTTAGCGGTTCCAGGTTACCTATGGCTTCTGGCCCAGGACCACATTGAGGACCACTGCTGTCTATAAGCCTCTTTATCTCTAACACTTAAAGTACTCAAGGATTCTAGAAAGCAGTTAGGTCTTTCAGGTTGCTTAATTATTTTCTTAGAAACCCTCCTTATATTATTATTTTGCTTAAAAAGAATATTTTCTTCATGAAAACAGTTTCCTTGTGAAAAGTATGAATATGGATCTGAACTTTATTCATTGAAAACACTCAAGCTGTTCTAGATATACATTGTTCTGGGCATTAAAGATATAGTAAAAGACTTTGCCCTCAGAGGGCAGGCGCGGCTGCTCACACCTGTAATCCCTAATCCCAACATTTTGGGAGGCTGAGGTGGGAGGATTGCTTGAGCCCAGGAATCTGAGACCAGCCTGGGCAACATGGTCTCTACAAAACCCATCTCTACAAAAAACCCATCTCTACAAAAACTACACAAATAAGCCAGGAGTGGTGGCGTGTACCTGTAGTCCCAGCTACTTGGGAGGCTGAGGCATAAGAATCACCTGAGCCTAAGAGGTCAAGGCTGCTGTGAGCTGCGATCGCATCACTGCACTACAGCCTGGGCGACAGAGTGAGACCTTGTCTCAAAAAAAAAAAAAAAAAACCCAAAACTCAAAGCAACAAAAACAAAAAACCCAACCCCCTCCCTGCAAAAAAACCTTTGCCCTCACAGAGTTTATCTTATGCAGGAGATACAAATGACACAAAATAAAAAAGTATGTTAGTGAGAGTGCTAAGGAGGAAAAAAGAAATCAAGGAAAAGTGTAGAAATGTAGGGCAGGTGAGCACCTTGACATTTTAGGTGGGCTGGCCAGAGAAGATGAGAGGGCAACAATGAAGTCAAGACTTTTTTTTTTCCAAGACAAGGTCTCACTCTTACCCAGGCTAGAGTGCAGTGGGGCAATCTTGGCTCACTGCAGCCTTGACTTCCTGGGCTCAAACGATCCTCCCACCTTAGCCTCCCAAGAAGCTGAGACTACCACAGGCATGCATCTGCACGCCCGGCTAATTATTATTATTATTATTTTGTATTTTTAGTGTAGGTGGGGCCTCACCACCTTGCTCTGGCTGGTCTTCCATTTCTGGGCTCAAGCAATCCGCCTGTGAGCCACCAGGCCTAGCTGAAGTAAAGACCTGAATGAAGAGCATGAGCTGTGTGGCTGTCCAGGAAAGATGGGCCAGGCGGTCTTCAGTGAGTGCAGAGGCCCTGAGAAGGAAGCATTCTCAGGGACAGCAGGGAGTCAGCATGGGGGAGGTCATGTGAGTCAGGGGAGTAATAGGAAATGAAGTCAGAGGTAACAGAATGCCAGATTAATTCTGGGATCTTAGGAACTGATTTTGACAATATTTAGTAAATTTCCCTAGAAAATCTCACTCAATTTCTATTGCTTTAAGACGTACTTTTGAGAGAACTTTAGGTCCCAGCCTTGAGTGGGCCCCAGGAGTTCATGAAGGTGTGTCCCAATCCTGAAGGGTACAGAAGTTCCCTCCACAAAGTGGCTGATCAGTGTGTCAAGATGCTTGTTTTCCCAAAGCAACGGAGTACAGACCAGTATGAAAAGACAGGTATGGAAGGAAATAGGTTTCTTTGGCCACCTTTTATGTATAAATGTGCCCTACTCTATCCTCCCCCAACCCATGCCCAACTCCTATCCTCATCTTCTTCATTAAATTCCAAGTGAATTGCCCAGGCAATGTCTGCTTCATTTTTTCTGTTTTACAAATTTCATTGTTTACACCTCTGGGAAAAATGAACCCCACCCTTATGAGTTATGAGCTGTGGCTCAGACCTTCAGTTCTTTTTATCGTCAAGCTTTTGGGTCTTGGCCCACCTACAAGCACCTGTAATGGGGAAAAAAAGTCATTAATACATTAAAGGACTTTTTGTTATCCTGGAAGGTTACTGAACTTATATTCAAACAAATAGAAATCTTCAAAGTATAATAGTTGCCACTGTGAAAAGCAGATTACTAGGCTGAATAGATCATTGGTCTAAGAAAGTTGTGGGAAAAAATCATGTCCTTTGCAGCGACACAGATGCAGCTGGAGGTTATTATCCTAAGTCAATTAGTGCAGGAAGAGAAAACCAAATGCTGTGTGTTATCACTTCTAAGTGGGAGCTAAACACTGGGCCACATGGACATAAAGATGGGAACAGTAGACACTGGGGACTACAGAAGGGGTAGCGAGGGAGGGGAGCAAAGACTGGAAAACTAGCTCCTGGTACTATGCTCACTGCCTGGGTGACAGGCTCCAGCATACTCCAAACCTCAACATCATGCAATACACTCTTGTCACAAAAGTGCACACATACCCCCTGAATCTAGTACTTCACTATGTTGTCTTGGAACCTGGAGCTAGGTCCTGCAAAATGCATGGGACTGTAAAGATGCAGTTCTGAACTATAAGAAGCTATATTCTAAAATAAAATGTCTTAGACCTCTGAGAATGTAGGGATATTTGTGAAGATTAACGTTTTCCTGTTGGCATATGATATTTTCCAGCAGAACAACAACAAGTTCACTGTAGGTGAACTTGCCAACCTCTCTAGAGCAGGCCCCTCTGCTCCACTCAGAAAAATGTAATCACATGCGGGTTACTTCAAGATCCTAGCTGCTTCTGCTACTAGGATCTGACAGTTCTTTGGGATAAGGACATTTTTTTGCTGTTATTGATCTCTAAACTCTTAGACTATAAGAGCTAGAAGTGACCTTTAAGGTCATGTAGTCCAACAGTTCCTTTTATACTTAAAGCAAGTCTGTAACATCCGTGCCAAGGGCTCCAGCAATTTTGGTCAAACCCCTCCATCTAGTGTTTACACTCAGGAATAATATTAGGTGAGAACAAAGACCCTGATTCCATTTACTGAGGAAGGCCTTTGTGCAGGAGGTAAGTTTTGGTGTGGTTAATATATTCAATTTAAATGTAATTTCAGTTCAATTAAAAAAGATGAAAAGGAAACTTGGCTAATGCTTTTTTTTTTTTTTTTTTGGCCAAATGAAACAATATTGTGGATGAATAATCAAGAATATTTCTTTGGAATACAGATAAATGGAAAACACTAATCCTAAATATCCATCATATTTCCCATCCTAATTTTAAAAATCCCAAATGCCAGACCACAATAGCAAAATGCTTAATAGTGCTGCCCACCCCAGTAAGCCATCATGCCTTGTCTCCACCAACACAAACAGATTTTATGGCCCAGTCTTTACATGAATCACTTTGTGAAAATGATAGCAAATGTAATAACCCCAGACAGCTGCAATTATCTAAATGTCTCCCTATTAGCCATTTGAATGGCTGAAGCCTTATAATCAAATTAGAGTGAATGCTAATTGAAATCTAATAGAGCTTACATCCATGTGATTAGATATCAGAATTTGATTCCAATATTGTTAAATTACAGACAGGACGCATCAAGTCACACTAAAATGCGGTAACCTCAATGACAAAAGGAGATGGATTCTTTCAATAAAGAGATCAAGCTGGAACCGGTTTTTATTGTGTTACCGCCACCTACTGGTACTTAGTGGAACAACAGAGACACTTTTTCCTTTGACGTGAGCACAACCATTTTGTTCTTTTTCTTTTATTTCTTTGTTGAGACAGTACAATTACTGGATTACAATCACTTTCAAGACAATTTGTCTAAATACATATTTACAAATTTATGAGATTTAGACAAATTGTCTTGAAAGTGATTGTGCTAATTTACACTCTTTTTTTTTAGACTGAGTCTGGCTCTGTCGCCCAGGCTGGAGTGCAGTGGCACGATCTCAGCTCACTGCAACCTCTGACTCCTGGGTTCAAGTGATTCACCTGCCTCAGCCTCCTGAGTAGCTGGGATTACAGGCGTACACCATCACACCCAGCTGATTTTTGTATTTTTAGTAGAGATGGGGTTTCGCCATATTGGTCAGGCTAGTCTTGAACTCCTGACCTGTGATCTGCCCACCTTGGCCTCCCAAAGTGCTGGGATTACAGGCATGAGCCAACACCCCCAGACTAGCTAATTTACATTCTTCAATATCATTTCTGTTTACAGATTTTTAACGAAGTGGTAACTGTTTTCATAGAGAAGCTTTACTTTTTGTTGTCGTTTTAAAATAATTTCAACTTTTATTTTAGATTCAGGGAGTGCATGTGCAGGTTTGTTACATGGGTACATTGCTTGATGTTGAGGTGTGGGGTACAAATGATCTTGTCACCCCAGATAGTGAGTATAGTACCCAATAGGTCCGTTTTTCTATTCTTGCCCCCTTCCCAACTCACTGCTCCAGTAGTACCATGTCTGTTGTTTCCATCTTCATGTCCATGAGTTGCTGATGTTTAACTCCCATTTATAAGTGAGAACATGGCATATTTGGTTTTCTGTTCCTGTGTTAGTTCGGAGAAGCTGTACATTTTAATGTAGTTTAATTTAATACTTGTGTTTGTTTTATGCCTTTCATCTTGTGTCCAGAGGCCATAGAGAATCTCCTAAATTGTCTTCTAATTACTTGAAATTTTCATTTTTCCCAATTAGGTCTTTAAACATCTAAAATTAATCTCAGCATAGTAGTGCTTTTTTCTGACCCAGCCTTGCTAAAGAGATAGGGCTCTTGACAACTTTAAAGAACCTAGGTGGTCTCCTAAAAGCTAAATTCAAGCAGTGTCATTTTAGGTGCAGATATGTTGTTGGTGATGGGGTATGAGAGGGTGGCGATGGGTAATATGTGCATGGTTTAAAAAGAAAAATTAAGCGTCTTGCCCTGTGGCCTGTTGTTCCAACCACCTGGGGGGTTAGGGAGTGGTGGGGGGGCGGGCGTCTGAGGCAGGATTACTTAAGCCCAGGTGTTTGAGCCTTTGAATAACCATTGCATTCAGCCTGGGCAACATAATGAAACCCTTTCTCTTAAACCAAAACAATCAAACATCCAACAGGCTTACAATAATGAAAAACAGATTTATTTTAAGATTAATAGGGGAGAAATTGGCACTGTGTTTTCTACAGTTCTTTTATTTATAGTGCTGTGGATTTTGTGATTTTTTATTGATTGACTGATTGAGACAGGCTTTGTTGCCCAGACTGGAGTGCAGTAGCTCAATCATGGCTCAATGCAGCCTTAACCTCACTTTTTGTAGACACTGGGTTTCACTATGTTACCAAGGCTGGTCTTGAACTCCTGGGCTCAAGTGATCCACTTGCCTTGGCCTCCCAAAGTGCTGGGATTGCAGGTGTGAGCTACCGTACCTGGCCTCTTCTGACCTCTATTTTAGGGCACCATGGATGCCATTATATGTGGGTCCTATTAAACACTCAGGCTATGAAAATTGCACTATTTAAAAATACATTGCTTGCACATATGGGATTTTTAGTACAAAATCCAAGAAAATATGGCTTGAGGGGGTAATTTGTAGTTTACTGGGGAAGAGCCTTCTTATATTTTCAGCTGATCCCAGATGATTCCCCATTCTAATCCTGTGGCTGGAACAATGCTGAGCACATAGTAAGTGCTTTATAAGTGTTGATTCACTGATAGATTACAGAAGGTGCTGAACTACCCAAACTTTTGACTCTGACTTCTACCTAGAAGTGCTTGTCCTGTAGAGGAAAGCTGAGATCCTGTATTAATGTATCCTATAGAGCAACAGTTTATCAAGTCTGCCTACCTGCTATTTTAAGTATTAAAACTGCAACAATCAGTGCTTTGGAATGATTTATAAGTATATAATTTGTACATTAATATTTTTAGGCATAGATTTTAATTCAATATACTTTGTGTTAAGTTCAGTTCAAAGAGAATTTTTGTGAACTTACTGTGTGCTTCACTAACTTCTGAGGGCACAATGATGAGTATGACACAATCCCTGCTTTAACTTAATCAGGATGATGCTCTCTCTCTCTCTGTATTATAAATATGGCAAACAAAGCCTATCTAATCTTAGTCCATTGTTGAAATGAGGTTGGGAGATATGTCTTGCAAAATTCTTACCTTAGATTAAAAAAACCCACAAAGTCTTTAATCATATGTCTGAGCCCAAAACAATATTCCCAGTAGGCCTTATGGAATTGGGTAAAGGATTCAACAATAAGGGAAGCAATGTTTCAGAGGGCAGAAGTGAGGTGCATGTTGGTTTATGGAACATGAAGGGAACAGCAGGAAGCAGATATTAATCTAACGACACCATTCCACATACACAGCCTGGAAGGAGTCTCCCTGACTAGGGAGTGGCGTCGCAGGGCTCCCCCATCTACTGGTAAGTCAAATGTGCTCGTCAAGGGTGGTCTATTGTCTTCTTTTTTCTGTAGTGTGCACCAGCACCCTTCCACTCACCACCCAGTTCTCCCTGTACTTTTGTTTTGCTTTGCCTGGCTCAATTCAGGGCTTTGTAATATAATGTCTAGAGGTTTAGTTTTGTCACTATAGAAATCAAATGAGCCTAGAGGTTATTTGGTTTTAATTATCATTCACGAAACAATCAATGTAGAGGATTTACTCATTCAAATGGTTACTGGAGGGACATTTAGGTAATTGCAACTGTTGAATGTTCTCTCTTCTGCTAATTGTTTTTATTGAACAAGATTTATATCTAGGTATTGAAGAGAAGTTGTAGCTGTGAGTATCGCAGGCCAACATTTTGGAAGGAAGTGGTGGGAAGGAGATCTGGGCCCTAAGCTTGGCTTTGCTTTTCACTCTTTTTAAAAAATTTTTATTTTTTTGAGACAAAGTCTTATTGACACCCAGGCTGCAGTGCAATGGCATGATTTTGGCTCACTGCAACCTCTGCCTCCTGGGTTCAAGTGATTCTCCTGAGTAGCTGGGATTACAAGTGCCCACCACCCCACTCAGCTAATTTTTATTTTTTAATTTTTAGTAGAGATGGGGGGTTTTCATCATGTTGGCCAGGCTGGTCTCTAACTCCTGACTGCAAGTAATCTGCCCGCCTCAGCCTCTCGAAGTGCTGAAATTACAGGCATGAGCCACCACACCCAGCCTTCACTTTTTTGTAAATACCTCACTTCTAGGTTTTCAAAATGTCATGTAAGTATATAGTCTAATGTCTGTCCTCACAAACATGTACATTTATTTGGCCATGTTTCTGTGCTTAGTTGCTGTAATAGACACTTTTAAAAATTATTTATTTATTTATTTTTGTTCTTTCTCTTTAGGGCTGAACAACATAACAGACATTTTTCAGATTATATAAAATAATATGCACTGCCGTAAATGATATTTTCTGAGTGTAGTGTTTTGATTGGCTTTTCAATTTCTTATGTAAGCACCTAAGGTTACCACTCTATGTCATACTCCTCAGGATGAAAAACATTTTGTCTACCCACCTAGTTTCAGTGAATGAGGACTGCAGATTTAACTGACTAAAGACAGAGTAACAGGAAAAAAGATATGATTTTTATTGATATTAATATACTTTTAAATGCAGTTGGGCACAGTGGCTCACGCCTGTAATCATAGCACTTTGGGAGGCTGAGGCGGGTAGGTCACCTGAGGTTAGGAGTTGGAGACCAGCCTGGCCAACATGGTGAAACCCCGTCTCTAATAAAAATACAAAAATTAGCTGGATGTGGTAGTGGGTGCCGGTAATCCCAGCTACTGAGGAGGCTGAGGCAGGAGAATTGCTTGAATCCAGGAGGTGGAGTTGCAGTGAGCCAAAATCACTCCATTGCACTGCAGCCTGAGCAACAAGAGCAAGACTGTCTTAAAAACAAAAAGCAAAAACTTTTAAGTGCATGGGAGCTTCACAGAGATGATGTGAAAACTCAAAGATGTGCTCTGAACCTGGATTTTTTTTTTTAGATGGAGTTTCACTCTGTCTCCCAGACTGGAGTGCAGTGGTGTAATCTCAGCTCACTGCAGCCTCTGCCTCCCAGGTTCAAGCAATTCTCCTGTCTCAGTCTCCCAAGTAGGTGAGACTAAAGGCATGTGACACCATGCCCTACTAATTTTTGTATTTTTTTATTTTAGTAGAGTTGGGGTTTTACCATGTTGGCCAGACTGGTCTCAAACTCCTGACCTCAAGGGATCCACCCACTGCAAGATTCTTTGAACTGACGGCACCATGGACTACACCATAGTCAGGCCACAGTGACCCCTGTGACCCACATATACACCTCCAGATGGCCTCCCAGAGCCAGAAAGTCTGAGATAATAAGAAAACCACAAAAGGAGAGGGATAGCTAGCTTCTGCCTTGCCTGATTAACCAACCTTGTGACATTCTACCATTGTTCTGCCTCAACTGATAAGTCGACCTTGTGACACTGGACCCTGTGGTCTGATTAACCAATCTTGTGACATTGTACCATTGTTTCTGCCTCAACTGATAAATCAAACTTGTGACACTGGACCCTGTTACACCCCCACCCCTGCTTGCAAAAAACCGCCCTAAACTGTAACTTTCCATTACCTGCCCCCAACCTATACAACCAGCTCTTGTTCCGCCACCCTCTACTGACTCAGCCCACTCACACCCGGGTGAATAAATAGCCTTAATGCTCACAAAAAGCCTGTTTAGGTGGTCTCTTCATTCAGAGCGCACTTAACATTTGGTGCCAAAACCTGGGACAGGGTACTCTTTTGGGAGACCAGCCCTCTGTTCCTGCGTTCCCTCTGTGAAGAGACCCACCTGCAACCTCAGCACATCAGACAAGCCCAACAACCCTCTTACCACCTTCAGATTGGGTAAGCAGCCTCTCCCTCTCTCTCTTTTCCTTTTAATCCTTCTCCTTCTAGAGACACAGGAGACACTCTTTGTCCATGTGCTCAAAAATCCAGTGTTGGTCATGGACTCGGGAAGACAGACTTCCCTTGGTGTCTGGTCAATAGCAGGGACGCCTGCTTTGATCACATTACAACCTAGAACTCAGTCAGGGACGCCTACTGAAAACCCTGCTAGCTGCTCTCATTCTCCTTGTCTCTACTTCTTAAAACTTACTTCCTTCACTATGGGAAATATTCTGTCCTCTATTCCTCAGTCTTCATTTCTAGCCTGCATCCTAAGAAACCTAAAACCTCTTCAACTGTTGCTTGATCTGAAACCTAAACAACTCATTTTTTTCTGCAATACAGCCAATACAAATTAGACAATGGTTCCAAATGGCTAGAAAATGGCACTTTCAATTTTTCTATTCTGCGGGACCTAGACAATTTTTGTTGACAAATGGACAAATGGTCTAAAGTGCCATATGTCCAGGCATTTTTTACACTTAGATCCCTCCCTAATCTCTGCTCTGAATGTGACCCATCCCAAATTTTCCTTCTCTCCCTTCCATCTGCGCCTCCTGTCTCCACCAGTGACTCAGAATCCTCCTTGTCCATTAACCCTTTCAACCTTTCTCTTCTCCGCCTGTCTGAATCAGGCGCTAATCAAGTCCCTTAAACCACCCCTCTCTCTGACAGAGCCTTCTTTCTCTTCCTCTGCCCACAACCCACTTCCTTATGCCTCTCCTGTCACCTCCCTACCTCATACCCGTCTGGATTACAGTTTAGTCTGGTGGCTAACTCCTTCACCCCTGCCCAACAATTTCCCCTTTGAGAGGTGGCTGGAGCCAAATACATTTTTAGGTGCACGTTCCTTTCTTTTTATCTGACCTTTCCCAAATCGGCCAATGGTTAGGCTCCTTTTCATCAGATCCTACTAAATGTATACAAAAATTTCAATACTTAACCCAGTATTTTTTTTTTTGAGACGAAGTTTTGTTCTTGTTGCCCAGGTTGGAGTGCAGTGGCATGATCTTGGCTCACTGCAACCTCCGCCTCACAGGCTCAAGTGATTCTCCTGCCTCTGCCCCCCAAGTAGCTAGGATTACAGGCGTGCACCACCATGCCTGGCTAATTTTGTATTTTTAGTAGAGACGGGGTTTCGCCATATTGGCCAGGTTGTTTTCGAACTCTTGACCTCAGATGATCCACCCGCCTTGTCCTCCCAAAATGCTGGGATTACAGGCATGAGCCACCGCACCCGGCCTTAACCCAGTTTTATAATCTCACCTGGAGTAACTTAAATGTCATCCTTACTTCTCTCACTCCTGAAAAACGCTTAATATGCATTTTATCACTCAATCAGCCCCTGACATGACAAAAAGCTACATAAATTAGAATCTGGCCCTCAAACCCCTCAACAGGAATTAATCAACTTGTCTTCAAGGTATTCAATAATAGGGAAGAAGCTGCCTGGCGGCAGTGCATCTCAGAACTACAGATGCTTGCCTGTGCCATAAGACACATCCCAGCCACACCACTGGCTCACAAATACTTCAAAATGCCCAGGCTGCAGTGTCCAGCCGCCCCTCTCAGATCTTGCTTCAAGTGTCAGAAACCTGGCCACTGGGCCAAGGAATGCCTGCAGCCCAGGATTTCTCCTAAGCCCTGTGTGGGGGCCCCACGGAAAGTCAGACTGTCTGACTCATGTTGCTGCTCCCAGAGCTCCTGGGACTGAATCCTTCCCAGATCTCCTCGGCTTGCCAGCTAAAGACTGACGCTGCCCGAGCATCTCAGAGGCCCCCTAGACCATCACACAGACGCCGAGCTTCGGGTAACTCTTACAGTGGAGGGTAAGTCCAATCCCTTCTTAGTCAAAATGGAGGCCACCCACTCCATGCTGCCTTCTTTTCAAGGACCGGTCTCCTTGGACTCTGTAACTGTTATGGGAATTGACAGCAAGGTTTTCAGGCCTCTCAAAGCTCCCTAAGTCTGGTGTCAACTAGGCCAGCACTTCTTTCCACATTCTTTCCTAATCACCCCGACTTGTTCAGTTCCCCTGTTAGGCCAAGATATCCTAACAAAATTGTCTGTCTCCTTAACTATTCCTGGGCTACAGCCACACCTTATTGCTGCCCTCGTCCCCGAACCCATACCTCCCTCAATAGCTCCCCTATGTCCTCTTACCTTAACCCTGGGGTGTGGAACACCGCCTCCCCATCCCTTGCTACAAGTCAGTTACCCCTCATCATCCCCCTGAAACCTAACCACCCTTATCCGACTCAGCACCAGTACCCCATCCCAGCACAAGCCTTGAAAGGCCTAAAGCCTGTTACTACTCGCTTACTACAACAAGGCCTTTTAGTTCCCACGAACTCTCTCTACAACACCCCCATCCTACCTGTCCAACAACTGGACAAGTCCTACAGGCTAGTCCAAGACCTTTGCCTTATTAATCAGATAATGCTCCCTATCCATCCTGTAGTGCCAAACCCCTATAGTCTCCCCAACTTCTCTGAAACTTACCCGAATTCCTGAGGAAACTTAAATGCCCTGCTCCTGTCTATCTTGCCACTTCTCCCTCTTCCTCCATTCTGTGTGCCAAGACATTTCCTGGTTCCACTCCTAGGCTGCCACCCTTAACTCTCTTCTAAAGTGAATAAATAACCTTCTTTCCCAAGGTACCCTGTGTAACTTCTCCCCTGATAAAGTATAACTGTTTACTTTCTTCCTCATTCTTTGTCTGCCTATTCCTCCTGCTCCCATGGCTGCTTCACATAATTGCACCTCCCCTTCCTATTATTCCCAACTGTCTCTACAAAACCCTTAATCCATTCTTTGCTAAACCAATCCAACCCAACCCTAGCAAAAGGTTGCTGGCTTTGCATCTCTCTATCAGCTACAACTTATAGTGCCACTCCCATCCCTGCAAAGTCTTGGGTTCTTACTCGCCTAACCTATCTCCCTTGCTATGAAGGAAAAAGCCCCTTCAACTTTTAAACATGCAGTCACTAGCCGAGTTTTCCATCACTAACACGACCAAACGGGACGTGCAGTACAGCTTCTGTGCTCCTACATTTCCATCCTCACTCCATATACTGGTAATAACAAACCCATACATGGTTCTGTGACCACAAATACTAATTTAACTTTTCAGGCTCCTTTATGCTTCCAATGCAATCCATCCTCAGGCTTACCTCTTGGCCACCTACTGCCGCATCAATGCAACTTTATCTTACCACTCCAAGCCCCAACCATCAAAACTTTCTAGTCACTCAAACTGCTTCATTTAGCCCACCTGTCTGCTTTGCAGGACTCCGAAAAGTCAATACCACCTCTCTGCTTAACAGACAATCAGGGTTTTGTGTTGGTAGACATACCCCTTGCACAACTATTCAGCCCTGGACCCCTTGTAACACAGCTCCCACAACCAATGAATGCCTTCTTATACCCACTTTTAATCACTCCTCTGAATGGCTTCTAGTAGATACAAAATGGTAACTCCTCTGGTGGAAAAACAAAACAAATGGAGCCGTTCACATTACCCCAACAACCACTTTCCAGCCACTCACTGGACCCTAGGCATGTAGGAACATGAAAATAATAAACTCACACACCTCTTCAATATACACAACCAGTTCTGCTCACCCAGCCAAGGAATATTTTTCTTGTTCAGAACCTCAACTTACCTCTACACTCCACTAACTGGACCAGCACCTACACCCTACTGTTTCAAAGCCCCAAAATAGACATTGCCCCAGGGAACCAAATTTTACCAGTCCCCATTAAATCCCAGGTCTGTCAGCGCAGAGCTGTGCAGCTAATACCCCTGCTAATAGGACTAGGAATTGCCACTGCTACAGGGACAGGAATAGCAGGGCTGTCCATATTACATACCATCAACCTAACCCATTCTCTCCTTTCAAACCCTTCCTTAGCCAGAGATTGCTGGCTATGCATTTCCCTCTCCTCTTCCTCTTACACAGCCGTCCCTGCCCTATCAGCTGACTGGGCAAACTCTCCCATCTCTTCATATCTCTGGATTTCCTTCAACAACCCCCCTGTGCCCCCCAGAAGAACTCCTCTACTTCCTAGAAAGATTCAACAAAACATCCCAGGTACCTCATGCCAACAGGCTGCTGCTTTTCTTTGCACCTACCTATGTAATCTTTCCCCTTGTGTCAACTCCACACCCCCGTTTTTGGACCACTAACCACACAAACAACTATCCCTATTGCTGCTCCATTATGCATTTCCCAGCAACCACCTAATGGATTTCCCCAGGAGACTTCCTACCCTCTTCGTGTTCCTTTACACTTCACCTCCAAGGCCCTGTCACCCACGTTAACCAAGAAATAGGAACATACCAGCTTTGCATTATGAAAAGGGCCTCCCTCATTACTAGCACTCTTAAGAATGCCAATAGCAAGTTTTGCCTAGGTAGGCATTTACCCTGTCTCTCACTCCTTCCTTGGCTGCTCTCCCCTTGTTCATCAGACTGTCCTCCAGACCCTCTTCCTGCCTGCTCACACCTAACCTTGTCAATGAAAGTGAACAGTTACTCATAGATACCAAATGCTTTCTCATATACCATGAAAGCAAGACCTCTCCTTTCACATAATTACCCTACCAAACCCCACTGCAACCTCTAACAGCCATGGCCCTTGCTGGTTCCCTTGGTATCTGGGTATAAGACCCCAGCCCCCACAAAACACTTTCTTACCTTTCCAGTTTACATTTCCAGTTCTGCTTAAGCCAAGGACTTTTTTTTTTTAACCTCTGTGGCTCTTCCACCTACATCTGCTTTATGACTAACTGGACAGACAGCTTTACCTTAATATTTCTTACTCCCAAAATCCAGTTTGTCAATGGAAATGAACACCTCCCTGTCCCCCTTGTAACTTCTACACAACAAAAAAAAGAGTCATTCCATTCATCTCCTTGCTTGTAGGATTAGGAGTCTTCACTGCTGCAATCGGGACAGGTATGGCCGAACTTACTCCTTCCATCACCACATTCCACAATCTCTAATGATTTCTCTGCCAGCATTACTCAAACACTATCTGTCCTCCAAGCCCAAGTTAATTCCCTGGCTGTGGTTGTCCTACAAAATCACCAAGTCCTCCATCTACTAACTGCTAAGAAAGGAGTACTCTGCCTATTCCTAAATGAAAAATGCTTTTATCTAAACCAATTTGGCCTTGTATATGATGCCATCAAAAGACTTAAAGACAGGACCCAAAAGCTCGCTAATCAGGCAAACGATTATTCTGGACCTAGCTGGCCACTCTCTAACTGGATATCATGGCTCCTTCATTAGCAGACCCCTTAATAGCTACCTTTTCCTTCTCTTATTTGGATCTTGTCTTTTCCAACTAATCTCTCAATTCCTACAAAATTGTATCCAAGCTATAACCAATCAGTCAATCCAGCTAATGCTCCTTCTAACAACCCCACAATATCACCCCTTGCCCCAAAATCTCTTGGCCCATTTTAAGTTTCCACGCTGCCCCCAATCCTGCCCTAAGAAGCCCTGAGAAATGTCATCCATCACCCCTCTGTACTGCCCCCCAAATTTCACTAACTCCCTGCTTTTTCTAGTTTTTACTTTTTTACCTTTATATTATTAATATAAAAAGGCAGGAATGCAAGCTTCTTTGAACTGACTGCACCATGGACTACACCATAGTCAAGCCGCGGTGACCCCTGTGACCCACATGTACACCTCCAGATGGCCTCCTGGAGCCAGAAAATCTGAGATAACAAGAAAACCACAAAAGGAGAAGAATAGCTAGCTCCTGCGGTGCCCGATTAACCAACCTTGGGACAGTCCATAATTGTTCTGCCTCAACTGATAAGTCGACCTTGTGACACTGGACCCTGTGGCCTGATTAACTGACTTTGTGACATTCTACCATTGTTCCTGCCTCAACTGATAAGTCAACCTTGTGACACTGGATCCTGTGACCCTCCCTACCCCTGCTCCCTGCCATGCTTGCACAAAACCACCCTAAACTGACTTTCCATTACTTACTCCCAACCCTATAAAACAAGCAACTATCCTGCCACCCTCTGCTGACTCAGTCCACTCACACCTGGGTGAATAAACAGCCTTGTTGCTCACACAAAGCCTATTTAGGTGATCTCTCATTCAGAGTGTGCTTAACACCTGCCTCAGCCTCCCAAAGTGCTGGGATTACAGGTGTGAGCCACTACACCTGGCCAGAACCTGGAATTTACATACCCTTCTTAACAAAAGAAGAAGGGTTTGGCCTTCAAGGGACAAATATTGTGGGAAGTGACTAGAAAATATGTGAAGGAAACTAATGGAAGATAAGGGTTATTTTAGTAGGGCTTGTTTATGAGGAGTCATCTTGGTGTGACATCTCTGGTAATGAGTCATTTTCATTTTCCTGACACAGAGGGGTACCTTCCTTAAAGGAAAATTTATGCTCTGTTTTTAGGGAGATAAAGGGAGGGCAGAGAACTTTTCCTGCATCAATTGCCTTCAGCTCAAAATAATCTTTATGCCAAAGTGACATATTTTGGGATACATATACTGATCTCTTTCAGTACACCTCCCCATTTTCAAAAAGAAAGAAATGGAGGTCTAGAAAGGTTAAAGGATGTACCTCTAGTCACATGACATATTAGTGGTTTAGCTGGAACCAGAATCCCAATCTTCTGATTATGAGTCTTATAGTTACTTTTATCGTCTGAAGGTCAGGACCCAACAGATGCTTTGGTTGGCAACAGAAGTGTAATTCAGGGTATATAGCCTTTAGTAACCAATTCCTCCCAAACAAATGGGTGTTTACATTTTCAGTCTCAATGAAGGTTAAATTTTAGCATGTAACTACATTGAAGAAGGTTATGTACATGTTCTCCTTTTTCTTTATTAAGGAAATGTACACACACACACACACACACACACACACACACAAACAAAGAAAAAAACAAAACCCTTTATAATCCTATGACTCTGAAATAATGCAATTCCCACTGAAATAGTTATTTTGAGTTATCTTTGAAAGGAATTTTTTACTGGCTCAGTTATTTGTTCCCAGATAATTATACCTCTTTCTCTACTTTTCAAGTAATTTAGTATCTTTTTTTCTGGATATGAAAGTTCTAAGTGCTGTTTATTAACATTTCAAACATTACAGATATGTACAACATGGATATTAACAATATACTGTGTCTACCACCCTCAGAGATAATCACTACCAATTACTTAATGTATGTCTCTCCAGGTTTTTTCTTCTATGTACATACTAAAAAATATTCTTTTTTTCACAAAAAATGGGATCACGTTATTGATACTGTTTTTTAAAATTTGAAGTAAGATCTGTACAACATAAAATGTATTATTTTAGCCATTTTAAACTGTACAATTCAGTGGTTTTTTAGTATAGTTACAATGTTATGCAACTAATGACCACTATTTAATTCCAGAATATTTTTGTCACCCCATTAACACCACCATGCCATATTCATACAGCTTTGCATTTTGCTTTCTTACTTTATGCATCCTTCTATTTTAAGATATGTCATATACTATTTCATAGCATTTCTGTAGCATTTCATTATAAGCACCATAGTTATTTAAACACCCTCAATTAATGGGCAGTTGGGTTATTCCACCTGGCATACAGGTTTTTTTTTTTTTTTTTTTTTTGTAGAGATGGGGTTTCTCCATGTTGCCCATGTCACCCAGGCTGGTCTCAACTCAAGGAATCCACCTGCCTCATCCCCCGAAAAGTGCTGGGATTACAGGTGTGAGCCACTGTGCCTGGCCTATTCTAGGTTTTTAAAGTATTATAAGCAGGGTGGGTTCAGTGGCTCACACCTGTAGTCCTAGCACTTTGGGAGGTGAAGGCAAGTGGATCACCTGAGGTCAGGGGTTCGAGACCAGCCTGGCCAACATCGTGGAACCTTGTCTCTACTAATAATACAAAAAATTAGCCAGGTGCGATGGTGGGCGTCTATAATCTCAGCTACTTGGGAGGCTGAGGCAAGAGAATCACTTGAACCTGGGAGGCTGAGGTTGCAGTGAGCCAAAACCATGCTATTGTACTCCAGCCTGGGTGACAGAGTGAGAGTCCATCTAAAAAAAAAATTATGAACAATCTATACTAAATATCAAGCATCGCACTTTTGTGAGATAAATTATTAGAAATAAAAATGTTGAGTCAAAGGGCATGAACATTAAAAATGCAATAAAAATTGTTTTGTTTCTCTCCAAAAAAGTTGTACTAATTAACAATCCCAGTGAGGGTATTTCCCGGTTTGTGTTTTCCAGTCCTCTTGTCAGCCCTGAATATTATCCATTATAAAGTCTTTTCCAATCTGATAGAGATAATCACCTTATTGTTTTAGTGTTTGATTAATTATAAGGGAGGTTGGGCATCTCTTAACGTTTCTAGCAATCTGTATTGTGTATGTAACTTGCCTGTTCATGCTTTTTGCCCATAGTTCTATTGACTTTTCTTTTTCTTATTGATTTTTAGTTAATAAGAAATGTTTATTTTGAAAGATCTTTTTGGTTCTCATTTTATTATTATTTTTTGAGACGGAGTCTCGCTCTGTCTCCCAGGCTGGAGTGCATTGGGGCAACATTGGCTCACTGCAACCTTCTCCTTCTGGGTTCAAGCAATTCTCCGGCCTCAGCCTCCTGAATAGCTGGGATTACAGGTGCATACCACCACACCTGGCTAATTTTTGTATTTTTAGTAGAGATGAGGTTTTACTATGTTGGTCAGGCTGGTCTCAAACTCCTGACCTCATGATCCACCCGTCTCAGCCTCCCAAAGTGCTGGGATTACAATTTTCTTCAGCTGATAAAGAAGAATCAACTTTATTCTTCCTGCTCAGAAACAAATTTTCTTTGAGTCATCTGTGTTAAGAGCTTCCAGGCCATTTAGTCAATGAAACCTTTTCCTGACAAAGAGGGCTTGGCCTGTGATCATCAAAAGGATAATAACACCCTATTTCCCTTTCCTTTAGAGCTACCATCCTCCTTTTTTTCTCACATTAATTGCTTTGTGTTTTCCCTGCTTGATGCAGGGAAATGACCTCAGGTTTTTCATGTAGTCCTTCCTTGCTAATGTCCAGCTGTGTTTTTCTTTTTTTTTGACAGAGTCTCACTCTGTCACCCAGGCAGGAGTGAGTGCAGTGGCATGATCTCAGCTCACTGCAACCTCCACCTCCTGGGCTCAAATGATTCTCTAGAATCACTTGATTCTACACCCAGGTAGCTACTCAGCTACATCCGAGTAGCTGAGGCAGCTGAAAAAGACCTGCATTTCAGCTACCAGGTGGTACCGAGGTCAGGAGTTTGAGACTAGCCTGGCCAACATGGCAAAACCCTGTCTCTACCAAAAATACAAAAATTTAGCTGGGCATGGTGGCATATACGTGTAGTCCCAGCTACTCAGGAAGTTGAGGCATGAGAATCACTTGAAGTCGGGAGGTGGAGGGTGCAGTGAGCCAAGATCACACCACTGCTCTCCAGCCTGGGTGACAGAGTGAGACTTTGTCTCAAAAAAAATTTTATTCTTTGGAGTCTACCTGTTCTAAATGTTTTTTGGACTCAGAGTGAAGCCGTCACCTCAAAGCCAATGACAGCCATTAATTCTTTGTCAGTGTCAGAATGCTTGCCTAAATTCCAGGTTAGCTGGTCATATGCAATTTTCCTGAGCTGCCTATAGTGGAAACCCCCCCGCCCTTTTTTTTTTTAGACAAAAATCTCACTCTGTTGCCCAGGCTGAGTTCAGTAGTGCTATCTTGGTTCAATTACAGGTGCGGGCCACTGCACCCAGCCTCTACTTCTTTCTTTTGTTTTAATAAATTATTTGTTTATTTGATTTAGTAGAGACAGGGTCTTGCTATGTTGCCCAGGCTGGTTTCATACTCCTGGCCTCAAGGGATTCTCCTGCTTCAGCCTTCAGTGCTGGGACTATAGGCATGAATTACCAGGTCTGGCCCCTCCTCTCCTTCCTAATTCAGAGGACTGTTCCAGGTATCTGTGTGCTATCAGGTAGTAGTGCTTTGCCCCAGAAGCAGCAGCAGTGACCTCCGGGGCTAGATTATTAATGAAGCCCTGTGGGATCCTTTGCAAAAGAAGAGTTGGTATAAATGGGAGGTGTGTTCTACATGGGTCTCAGGGGAGCCAAAAACAAACCAAGGATGAAAAAATGCTGCCACAGCTGCTACTGCCTATGACTAATGTGAGGGTGAAGTGTTGACAACACAGATTCCCCAGAGGAACCCCAGGGTTGACAGAGTCACAATACTGCCATGCTTTTTTCATGGTCTTAGCATTGATTTTCAAATTACACATTCACCTAAAGCCTAACTTGACCACTCTGGGGTGTGAGATTGGGTGGCTATGCAAGGCCCACAGCAGCTTTATTTTCTCCACTACAAGCATCAGTGTGGGAACAAGTCAGGCATTCTAGGTCCTTTTCAGCTACCAGGTGGCCAATGAACTTCATTCAGAGATGAGGCAAGCCAGCAAGGATTTTCCCTTCCATGCCTTTGACAATGTATAGAATGAAGTTTTATTCTGTTTTCAAGAGAGAGCACAATATTACTCAGCATCTCTCTTATACTAACCTCCACTTCCAAAGGGAGAGAACAAGTACTCATTTGGTTCTTTTATATGGTTAGTTATGCCACTAGTACCTTCAGAAATATTAGCACCCACCTTTATTTCTTCCTGAATGTTGCTGAGGTCTTTAATTAGCATGATCAATTTTTTTAGGGTCTTAAATTTTGTTATATAACTAACATTTCCTCAATTATATACATTACACATATTACTGGTAGAAACATCTGGAAAAGCATAAAAGAATGAAAAGCAACTGCATTCTAGAAAGAAATAAAAGAAAGAAAGAAGAAAGAAAAAGAAAGAAAGAGAAAAGAAACCACTATGATTATCTTGATATATATCTTTCCATGTTGTATATACATATATAGTTGATTTTCATTATCTTGGTAGTCAAGCTCTATGAAGGCATTGGGAGCAATGAATTAGCAAATAGTGAGCCATTGTTCCTAGGGGAAGTATAGAGTTAGGTCCCTGTAAGCCTCTGGTCATAACATTTTCATCAATTAACTGATCAATACATAACCTTGATTATCTGTGTATTTCTGTTTAAAGACACTAATATATTGTTGATTCATTAACATTGTTAATGATTCGTTAACACTGAACTCATGGCTAATAGCACTGTCACTCACGCCTGAATGAAACTTATCTTAACACAGGTATTTTCTCTGTAAAGTACAACATAGATTCTTTTTTTTTAGACTAAGTCTTGCTCTGTCTCCCAAGCTGGAGTGCAGTGGCGTCATCTTGGCTCACTGCAACCTCTGCCTCCTAGTTTTAAGTAATTCTCCTGCCTCAGCCTCCTGAGTAGCTGGGCTACAGCCACATGCTACCATGCCCAGCTAAGTTTCATATTTTTAGTAGAGACAGGGTTTCACTATGTTGACCTGGCTGGTCTCGAACTCCTGACCTCGTGATCCACCCACCTTGGCCTCCCAAAGTGCTGGGATTACAGGCATGAGCCACTATGCCCAGCCACATCATAGACTCTTTAACTGAGAAACACTAGACAGTACCTCAGCACTAAGCTTGGGGGCATTTTATTTATTTTTTGAGGCAGGGTCTCACTGTCACCCAGGCTGGAGTGCAGTGGCGTGATCACAGACCACTGCAGACTCAACCTCATGGCTCAAGAGACTCTCCCACCTGTAGTAGCCTCCCATGTAGCTACTACAGGCATGCACCACCACATCTGGCTAATTTTTTTTTGTTTTTAAGTAGAGATGGGGTCTCAAACTCCTGAGCTCAAGCAATCCTCCTGCCTTGGCCTCCCAAAATATTGGGATTATAGGTGTGAAGCACTGTGCCTGGCCGGCATTTTTTTTTTTTTTTGAGACAGTGTCTCACTCTGTTGCCCAGGCTGGAGAGCAGTGGTGTGATCTTGGCTCACTGCAATCTCCATCTCCCAGGTTCAAGTGATTCTCATGTTTCAGCTTCTTGAGCAGCTGGGATTACAAGTGTATGCTCCACACCCAGCTAATTTTTATATTTTTAGTAGAGGTGGGGTTTCGCCATGTTTGGCAAGACTGGTCTCGGGCTCTTGACCTCTCAGGTGATTCACCTGCCTCAGCCTCCCAAGTGCTGGGGTTATAGGCATGAGCCACTGTGTCAGGCCCTGGCCAGCATTTTAAACAGCAACCTAATCAACAAAAAGCACAAAAATGTGAAATACAAGGCACTAAATAAACCATAAAAAGGAGTATTTATGCTATAAGAGCTGAAACAAGAAAGCAAAGTATCACCTTGTTTGACTTCAGCTGGGAATTGCACATCAGGTGATGCAAAATTTTTGGCACTTTATGCAAGTCTGCAAATTACCACAAAAGCGCTGAAAGTATTGATTTTGGAGTCACAAAGAAGTTTTAGTGATTAGATTAATTTACAAATGCAGAATCTGTGAATAATGAATATCAACTACATTGTGAAATACTTTTTCACTTACCAATATATGATTTTTTTTTTGAGACAGAGTCTTGCTGTGTTGCCCAGGATGGAGCACAGTGGCACAATCTCAGCTCATTGCAACCTCTGCCCCACAAGGTTCAGGTGATTTCTCATATCTCAGCCTCCCAAGTAGCCAGGATTACAGGCGCCCACCACCACGTCCAGCTAATTTTTGTATTTTTAGTAGAGACAGGGTTTTGCCATGTTGGCCAGGCTGATCTTGAACTCCTGACCTCAAGTGATTCACCCACCTCGGCCTCTCAAAGTGCTAGTATTACAGGCATGGACCACCATGCCCACTATATGAATTTTAATAGCTATATAGTAGTCCAAGATATGGATGTGTCATGATTTATTTAACCATTTTCCTAATCTTGAACCTTGCATTTGTTTTCAACTTTTTTTACTGTCATCCTTGAATGTAGATCTTGTTCATATCTGTTATTTACATGGATATATTCCTAGAAGAGAAATTTTGGTTCCAGTCATTTTTCTTCCCTTTTTTTTTCCTGAAGACAGGGTCTCACTTTGTCACCCAGACTGGAGTGCAGTGGCGTAATCACAGCTTACCTCTGCCTCCCAGGGTCAAGTGATCCTCCCGTCTCAGCCTCCCAAGTAGCTGGGATTACAGGTGAGTGCCACCACACCTGGCTAATTTTTGTATTTTTAGTAGGGAGATGGGGTTTTGCCATGTTGGCCAGGCTGAAAGTGCAGAGGGTGAGTGGATGCCAAATTTCCAGGCGGATCTTTATTGCCCACAGACCAGGAGACTCCCAGGTAGAGGAGCCCCACGGGTCGCCAGCACAGCTATTTTGGCCAGGGCGGCTATTTTGCTGGCACCCAGGCGCGGTGGTTCTCCATA